TAAGTTTTCATTTTTATTTAATTTTTCCTTTTAGATTAGAAAAATCTTTTTAAATTTTTAATGATTTTACTTTGTATACTTGCCATTTTCCTTCGCTTTGGGGAGGAGCCCGAATTTTCCGGTGAACTAATATAATTTAAATATTGGAAGGGTTCATCAACTAATTCTGGATATAGAAGACTAAAGATTTTTCATGGAAGAGAGATTTTGATTGGTTTCAATGTTTCCTCCTCCCGATGACGTTGCATTGAAATTGATTGAATTCCTCTTCTATTATATTCTTTTTTATTCATTTATGTTTTGAATTTGGGTTTTACTTCTTTGAAGAAATTTACTTTTAACATTTGTTAAATTCTCCTTTTGTACATTTTAGGATTTTTGTAAGAAATGCAACATTTACAAATATGTGTAATACTATGCTTTTAAAAAATACAACATTTACAAGTATGTGCAATGCTATATTTTCAAAAAATTTAATTGAAATATATCAGACCCACCAGCGGCCGAAGGGTAAAATCACTGAAATTTGGTATTAGTTCTGTCTGGGGCTCCAGTCCCGAAAAATGGGCCTACTGCATGGTTGTTTTCGTAGTTTTCTCCATATTGCAGAGACATTAAGTATTTTTGAAGGAGTACATGAAAAATGAACAATGCCCTCGTTGGAACTCGAACTTGGACCTTTCAAATACGCGCCGAGTGTGCCAACCGTTACACCACGAAGGCATGCAGAAAAGAGGGAGAAAATACCTTATATACTCCCCCTTTTAAAGGAAGACTGAGGATTAGGGGATCCGATCACCAAATCCTAATGCTTAAAAATCATCCTCCTCCACCTTTTTAGTTCGGGCGCCACTGTAGAGATATTATGTTTCTTTGAACCAGGAGGGAATGAAAAATGTGCAGTGCCCTCACTGATACTCGAACCTGGACGTCACGAATAAGCTCCAAGTGTGCTTACCGTTACACCACGAAGGTATGCAGAAAGAAGGGAGAAAATACCTTATAATGTGTAACTTCTGTACGAGTCAGTTTCTCTTAGCATATCCCCCCCCGGGGGAGTGATATATTAGTAGCGATTTTTCTTTGCGATTTGAAGCTATTGTGATTAGAGTTAATTGTCTAACTCAGATTTTTCTTTCGAATCCTTTGCTAAATATCACTTCCACGAGTCCGGTACTTTGACGCAGTCGGGGGGCTCCCTCCTCAGGAGGGTCCAAAGCCGGATTCATCTTTTCTCTCTGGTGTGAACCTCAGGGTACCAGAGAGAACCAGTGCCCAAAGCGTTTGAGTGAGATTCTTAAAAGACTATTATAGTGCATAAACTGATTAAAATGGAAGGTAATACCTCCCTAAATGAGAGTATGAACTCTAAGGACTTCTTAGCAGAAGCCAATAAATATATGGAAAGAATAAACATTGTGTTAGAACATGACAATATTCCCAGAGACTGTGGTAGGGAAATAAGACATATTTTTACTTATATGTTCAATCTTCTAACGGAACAATGTGTTAAAATGGCGGAGATAGAAGGAAAAGTTGAATTGACTGCAAAGCTAAGCACGGCGGAAACCTACGCTCAAAAAGTCGCCAAAGGTGCAAAATTACAAAGACAAAGATCGCGATCTCGGTCTCTGTCAAAAAGACGTAAACAGGAAGAAGAACATATTGTAATGGTCTATCCAAAATCGGAAAAAGAAACTTCAGACCAAACTAAAAGTAAAGTTGTAAAGCATATAAACCCAACCAAACTTAAGGTTGGAATCAAGAAAGTGAAAAAGATCAATAAAGGGGGCATTTTGATAGAAGTTTCAAAGAAAGAAGAAATGGAACTGATAGAGGAGGCTATCAGAGAAAATGAAGCGTTGAAAAATACTATAGATGTAAAACGACCCAAGAAAATAAACCCGAAAGTGATGGTTTACAATGTAAGCGAAGAAATTGATAAAGACTCAATAGTCGAAATTATAAAAACACAAAATACGGAGTACGAGGATTCAGAAATAGAAGTTAAGTTCCCGATGAAGGGAAAGTATGGCAATAATTGGGTCTTATCGGTAGATCCTGACACTTTCAGACTCATGATGCGGAACCAGAGGGTGAATCTACAATGGACAAGAAATATTGTCCGAGAATTCTTCCGAGTGACACAATGTCACAACTGCTTTGGTTATGGACATACAAAACGCTTTTGTAAAGAAGAAACAAAATGCTCCAAGTGCGGAGAGACCGGGCATTTGAAAGCTGCTTGTAAAGCTGAAGAAGCTAAATGCAATAACTGCACCAAGGCAAACGAAAGATTCAAACTTGATTTGAAGGTTAATCATGATGCAAAGTCAAAATCGTGTAGCTGCATGAAAAGAGAAGTGGACATCCTAAAAAGAAAGATAAACTATGGGTAAATTTCTTATTACTCAGCTTAATACCCAGCACTGTCAGAGTGCAAACTTACAGCTAAGCGTGGATATAAGCAATGACGACACGATAGCGACTTGCGTTCAAGAACCATACATTTATAAAGGGAGGATTGCAGGATTCCCCATGCGATACAAAAAGTATCACTCATCTGACCAACCAAAAGCAGCAATCATAGTCTCAAACCCGAGTCTCTCAGTCTTGGAAATTCATAACACGGAGTTTCTAGTTGCGGTCCTGATTTCGGGAAGTCTTCCATTTATATTGGGTTCAGTTTACTGCCCACCGTCTCATTCGCTTGATGCAATTCTCAATGATATTGATATGATAATTAGGAAATATGAAGATACTACGGTTATTCTCTCTGGAGACTTTAATGCAAAACATCCACTATGGGGACCCACCCCAGAGGATCCAAGAGGCATTCAAATTTGTGACTTTATAGCCGCAACAGGATTCACAATCTGTAATGATCCAACTAGTTTGGCAACATGCACAGCAAATAGAGGAGAGTCTTGGGTAGATTTAACTTTAATTCGAAGTTGCAATAATTTAAATGTGATTAATTGGACAGTTAAAGAAGAGACGACGTTATCGGATCATCGGAAAATCACTTATGAACTTCCAGATGTTACCCTAACAAACCCAATCTCACTTAGACTCAAAATAGGAAGTACAAACTGGATCGACTTAAGAGTAAAACTTGCAGAAAGTCTCTCTTTTTCAGTTAACATAAGTTCAAAAAGAACTATCACAGAGACAATAGAGAATATAACTAAAGTTTTACATAGTACTTATAAAGACACTCAACAGTCCCAGAGAGATAACCTTCCAAGTCGTAAATCCCACCCCTGGTGGAATAAAGAACTTTCATTCCAAAGGAAAAAGTGCGAGCGATGAGAAGGAGATATCAATCTCAAATATGGAATGATAATGAAAGAGCAGTGCTAAGACAAAGCTATAAAAAAGAAGAAGCCATTTATAAACGTAACATTTACTGTGCAAAGTTGGCAATGTGGAATAGTTATTGGGAGAATCTTTCTCCAACAACTCCCTTTGGTACATACTACACTATAGCAAAAGGCAAATGTCTAGCCCCGCTCCAACTCTGTAAAATCAAGAAATTAGATGGTACTTTTACAGCAACCGCATATGAAGCGATTGAATATATAATAGACTTTCAATTCCCGAAAGACGACAGCAACACGGATACGGAAAACCATCAACTGATGAGAGAGAAAGCCAACCAAATTCCTAACTCAAACAACGATCTCCAATTTACCCAATACGAGATCGATACGGTTCTGAAGACAGCAAAGAAAGGGCGCGCTCCCGGTCTAGATTGCATAACACTTGAATGTGTAGAAGAGATCTGCATGGCAAGTCGACAACTTTTTCTGGAAATCATGAATAAGTGCCTAGAAATAGACTACTTTCCTAAGCCATGGAAAAACGCAAATTTAGTCCTTTTCTCAAAAGAAGGTAAAGACCGAAGTGACCCACGAGCGTATCGACCAATCTGTCTACTCTCCTCATGGGGGAAAATACTCGATAAACTCTTAGCGAAACGGCTGACTCATTAACTCATCAGCAATAACTTGCTTAATCCCTTGCAATTCGGATTCACCCCAAGTAAGAGCACAATTGATGCCTTAGAAAATCTTGTCCAAATAATTCATAATAATTACAGACGTAATTGGCATACTTGTATGATATCCTTAGACGTGGCATCAGCTTTTAACAATCTGTGGTGGCCGGGTCTCCTGTCTACACTTATAGACCTGAACTGTCCTAAGAACCTCTTCCTTCTTCTGAAGGATTATCTGAATGAAAGAGAAGTTACCTATAATAGAGATGGAGTAAATATAACAAAACCCTACTTCAAAGGAGCACCTCAAGGTTCCAATTTGGGACCTATTTTATGGAATATTATTGCCAATACGGCACTGAATCTGGACCTTGGAGAAGATGTAATCCTACAAGCCTATGCGGATGATTTTGTCCTTATCATGGGAGGAGGAAATAGGATTGAAATACAAAGGAAAGCCAATCGAGCACTCCAAGCTTTGGAAAAATGGAGCCAAAAATATAAACTCGTTTTTAGTAAAGACAAAACTTAAATGATTACCTTCCCAAAAGGTTCCAAGTTAGTGAGAAATCCACCAAGGCTCAAATGGATGAATACTCCAATTCGAAACAAAGACACTTTAAAATAGTTAGGGTTCTTATTGGATAAAAAGCTGACATGGATTCCACATCTAACGGAAATGCGTAACAAAACTCATGCAATAGTCAATTGCCTCAATATATTTATGGTGCATAAATGGAACACGAAAGGCAAAATCATGAAGCAATTATACACGAGGGCTATTGAAAGATTGATTCTGTACGGATGTCCCATCTGGTGGCATCACACAAGAACAGTTAGAGTTTCAAATAACTTCTTCAAATTCAGAGAATTATATTATTAAACATTACTAAAGCGTTTTGTACCTCCCCTACGACAGCACTCCAAGTGCTGGTGGGTACTCTCCCACTAGACCTCAAAGCCAATCAAGAGGCTAAGACGTTTAGACTAGTGCATTTTAATGAAGAAAGTTTCAACCAACGATGGACCTATTTTAGGAACAGAAATAGAAGAAAAATTCGATATGAGCAAAACCCATTCAGCTGAAGCTAGGATGATAAATTGGCATAAAGATCAACCCACAGGGTTTGGAATTGAGATATTTACAGACGGCTCGAAGACTCAGGAGCGAGTCGGCGCTGCCTTTGTAGTATACGACAATAAAATTCTAACCCAAAGAATAAGACTAAATGGCTATTCTACAGTCTTTCAAGCAGAAGCAATTGCCCTCAAATCAGCATTTATATGGATTAACGAATATTTAAAGAATGGAAAACGGCCCATTAATGTGTTCTCGGACAGCCAAAGCGTTCTCAAGGCTATTAATAGTCCAAAGCAAACACTCCTCATTAAAGCCCTAAAGGAGCTTATCGCAACAGAAAGGACATTCAGGACAGTAAACCTGAATTGGATTCGTGGACATACAGGAATTGACGGAAATGAAGCAGCTGATCAAGCTGCAAAAGAAGCTTCAAACAAGGCAGAAGTGGACTGCCATCTTCCAAATCCAATTCTGGCCGCAAAAGACAGACTCCTAAAGGATGCAATTCAAAAATGGCAAGAACGATGGGACAATGCAGAAACGGGTCGACTTACTTTTGATTACTTTCCTAAAGTCTCCCTGAAAAGATTACGAACAGATTTTCCACGTCATGGCTATAACTAATCATGGGAAATTTCCTTCCTACTTCAAACGCTTCCTGAAGAGGAACGTCAAATGCGGTTGTGGACTTGAAGCAGAAAGAGCAGATGCAAGACATCTCATTTTCCAGTGCCCACTACTTTCGGTGATCAGAAAGGAGCATCTTCCAAGTTTTGCAGAAAGGCTTCCTACACAAGAGCTGTTCTATAATCCTTTATGTGCTAAAGGCATAAAACTAATGGTGAACTACGTCATCAACAACGAAGACAAAATAATTAAGGATCTGAATGATTGAATGTAGCAAATCTACTTTACATCTGTAAATAACTAATTGTTATAAAGTATCTTTTCATCTGTATTTGGTTAATTGTTATGAAGCATCTTTCCATCTGTTAATATAGAGTAGAGACTCTATTGTATATAATGTAAATATTGTAAATACTGTATATATTTCTTTTTCTGTTTTGCTTTTCTAAATAAAGGACCAATCTTCCAGACAGAGGGTAAGTGTCTCGTCCGGCACGCCCTCAGCCTTGATAGGCCGCGTGGTACTAGCGTACGACCGGTAGCTGTTTCGGCTTTTTCGGCAAGAGGTGTCTAAATTTCTCACTCCCCGCAATGTCCTTAAGTGGACGGGGCGAAGTACAAAATTATTATTATTATTAGCATATCCTCCACGAAGGCATTCTTCCCTTAAGCAGATAGCCCAAGAATGTTTTACCTTAACGAAATAAATTAAGCCAATCAATCAATCAAAAACTCAAACACTAAATATATCAAGTTGTTCCATACCAAATTCTTAATATGGTCTTTAGCGTTCGTGCAAGGTTTTCATTTGGACGGTTTAGATTATTCTATTACAGTTAAACTTTCTTATGGTTATCTGAATTGCTTTTCTAAACGCTTGGGGTCTTTGGAAGGCAAGAATTAATTTGAAAGCATTTTCACATTTTTCTAACAATCATAACTTTTGTATTTATTACTTCCTTTTGATTTTCTACCCATTCATACTTATTGGTTCCTAATGATTTTCTACCCTTTCATAAGTTGAAATAATTAAATTTTAATAACAGGAGAAAAGAAGAAAGATACACCATGCTGTTAATGTTAGGGTTTTACGTTTTCAATGCATTTTTTTTTTAATTAATTTATTTATTTACTGCTGAACAGCAAATCTGCTTATATCGTACAAAAACTTGGATTTTTCTTTTATGGTAATATCATTTTCTGAATTATAAAATAATGAAGATGCAAGATTAAATTTTATTTACTGTCAGTCGGAAATTTGAGGAAGGATTTTTAATTAAGATAGGGGCACCACTGTGCCAAAAAAAAATGATACTCAAATGCAATTGCATATTGTGAAAACCTCCAAAACCTGAAGTTTAGTTTTAGCTTACATGATTCCAAATCGGGTATTAGCAAAATCAAGGCGTAATGTTAAATATGGTTAGGTGCTGCATTTATGTAAGGTTTTGAGTCACTAAATGTTAAAAAGAAATAAAACTCACCAGTGATAAATAGCACATGGAGAATAATTATTGCACATTCAAAAGTAAAAGACTATTTTGCTCATTTACTAACATGGCAATAAATAAATATAACTTTGTGTAGATATTTTGCATAATAGTATACTAAAAATTTTTAATGATTTTCTTATAGCAGATTTTGTTAGAATTACGCCTTTTTGTCAGGTTTAAATTTAATTAGATTATTTTTGCTATGAAACAGAGAATGAGCAAATTTCTATCTTGCAGGTGTTTTTGTAGGGTTCTAATATAGAGGGTGTTTTTGGAACTTTACGAAACACGTTTGGTACACTTTAATAAATTTCTGCTAAAACTTTCTACATTTTTGATGCAGCTTATTAACAAAGCAGTTTTTCTCTTTAAGGATGTAAATGTAAACTATTGCTAAAGTAGAGCTAGCAACAGAGGCAGGCAGGCAGGCAGTCTAGGTTTAGAGTGGTCTGCCATAACTTCTGCACGCTAGTACCTGAGTTAGAGTTTCTGTTTTAGCCAAACTCCGCTTGAGTGTTGCTGATATAATTTTATGGGGTACTGAGATAACACCTAAGTTGAAAACGTTTAAACTTCTGGTTGTTTCTTTAAGCTACATTGGATTCATTTTTGAAATATTCCTGTACGTATAAGTCATGTAAATTGGTTAAAAAAAATGTTTAAAATGGATGTATCAAGAATACTTTAACAATCGCCATCCTGGCAATAGTGACAATACAGAAAACTTGTGCTTCACGGTTTCCTTGGAAGTATTTTCTTATGAAAGTCAAAACAAATGCATGTATTCTACGTATTAATCCCTTGCGAATATTACCCCAGAAGGGATGAACCACTTTTCAAATTATTGTCAAAAAACATTATCGCCCTGTATTATATTTAAAGAAACTAAATAATGAAGAATCCGAATGAATGTATGTATTGTGAAAAAACAACGGTACCCAGAGTCATCAAATTCCGAATAACATAGACCTCCACTCAAACATGGGTACCTGGAAGCCCGAATTTGGAAATTGTTTTTATTGTCTATTTTATATTTTGTAAAACTTTAATGAATTTTTGATTAAAAACTGTTAACAATTTCAAAGCGAGCAACGGCAACACTGTAGGGTATAAAATATTTTATCTCCAGCGCGCGAAGGTGTCTATCGGAAATTATAAAGATATACCGTTTTTAAATACTTTTAGCACAATGTGGCGTTCGCCGAAATGCTCTCGAAATGTGTATGTGTCTGTAAATGAAAAAAACACATCCGTTTGAGAGTAATATAAAATCTGAAAGTTTAATAATTTTATTAAAATAGTGTTAACAAATAAAATATATATTTTACAAACATATGCAAATTTATGCTGCGTAGAGTAGACAATATTCCCGAACTGCGTGCTCTTACCAATTGTGTAAAATACCCCACCATTATAATTTTCACTAATAAAAACCTCTTGACTTGAAATAAAATCAAAAGGTCACCTATGAGGAAATCACGATTAGCATCATTGTTTTGGAACCAATATTAGAAACTTCCTGGAATTTCAATTTACCACATGCTATGTTTATCTTCATGTAGCTTATTACTGTCTTTAAAATTGGTACATAATAGCATTAAATCACTAAAGAGGACATTTAAATCACTGAATAACACCATTAAAACTACTGAGTGCTTCCTTCATAAATTTTCGCAACGTACAACTGTCTAATTTTGCTTTCCGCGTCTGTACCAGATGTATATTTGATCAGATCGTAGAGCCGATTTTCGGACCATGTCTCAAAATCAGGTAATACTTATGTTTTCCATGCAGCGAAATTGTTCATTACTATTCTCAGTCACAGCTGGAAATAAATCAAAAATATTTTACATTTCCTCTTCTTTCAGACGGAGTTCAACCGAGCATGAGCATACACTGGAACCGATAAAAAGATTCGCTCGAGATAAAAGGTTATGTCCTTGAGATTCGCGTTTTGTTTTCATATGTGTTTATGCGATTGCTAACATTTTAAATCATGCTCGATGTCCCGATAAATTATTTCCTTTCATGTCAGTTTTTGTTCTGCCGATGAATTAATATAACTGAAAAAATATTCAGGAAATTATTTCTAGAGTCTTCCAAGCAAGTTCTGAAACTCTTTGAATGATTTCTCGCCAAATTTGGCAGTAAAAATTAGTCGCCAAAACCATCTCCAGTTTGGCCATATCTCGCCTGCTTAGCCAGATAGCCATCTACTTCAATATTAAATAAACTTGCCCTCCAGCAGAACTTCACTTTTCTTAAAGCAGTTCATGTTACATTATACAAAATTCGTAATAATATTCTTACGGATTTTGTATTTATTTAGTTTGCAATTTTTAATGCAATTTTTATTAAAATTGTTTTATATTCCCGTGCAATCCAGCACGAGACTTAGTATTTGAAGAAAAAGCTACGTCGGAAAAATTAAAATACAGGAGTACGCACATTTGTTATTTTAATAGATGGATGTCTCATAATTGTACTTTTTTAATATCCAGAAAAATCGAGAAAGTACGAGAAGTTTCTCGTGCATTTTAAAAGCTTATAAAAGCTGGAGGAAACATCTCAATTCAGTTGTTTACTTATTGCTGTTAATGACTGTAGCGAATTCGCGATGAAATCGGATTAGCTTTTTATGTTTTGAATTAAGTTCTGTTGAACGTTTTATTAGTTTAAAATATAACTACTGTGAGATATTGCAAAATTGTACTAATATATGAGGAAAATTAAGTTTTTTTAATTAAGAAATTTTTGTTTTATTTGTTGTGATAATAAAAAAATTTGTTCCCTTTTCATCGGACTTTTGCATTCAATTCATTACGAACTCGTACGCATGCAACAATATTTTTTTTTGGAGCTCCAAGCATGCATAACAAAATCAGAGTAAAATAAACCGTAAATAAATTACTGGAAATCGATTCGAATTTGACTGAAAGAATATTATTAAGCTTACTCACACTTTGACACTATGAAATTGTCTTTCACGTTGATGTTTGCCTGCTTTTCTCAATAGGAAACAATTCTCCAGAAGAGAAGATTTTCATTTGGATTTTGCAAGTCCCCTTCATGAAACACTGAAAGAAAATCATTGCGTCATTTCAAAATTTTATCTCAGTAAATTAATTCAGTATTTGTCGTATCCAGTATTTGTGATTTGTTTCAGTAAGTAACGAAAATATGCAAGATAATATTCAACGCTTGATCTTAATAACTATTTCATTTCGTTTCTTCTTGCTGTATTCTCATCGAATCTATCCCTCCTGGGCGGCTTTTTCTCTGCTTTTGGTCTTCCTCTTTTCTCAAGCAAAAGGTCTTACAAATTTTACCGATTTTATACATGTTTTCAAAAAAGTTAGCTTTGTGCCAGTTGTTTTTACTTTCTTTAGCATATTAATAATCCTTTCATATTTTTATCTTATATGTAATATAAGTTGTGTCTCTGAAAATTGCAGAGCATGCCATAGATAAGGTTGATGGTCTGCCCATATATGTGCTTTCCTC